ACAGTTGTTCCAGAGGTGTCTTTCCATGTAGATGAAATCTCCAGGTTACAAGGTGTGATGCTTAAGGTATTCATTTCCCGAGGGCATGCTGGGAAAAAATTGCTCTACGAAAACCTGGTTATTCTTTGTGTGTTTAACTATTTTTTATTGAAGTATAGTAAGTTACGATGTGTCAGTTATAGTATGTCAATTTCTGGTAGACAGCATGGTTATTCTTAACAGAAGCAATTAGGCTTTTGCAATAACATTGGAGTATCTCTCCTTTTATCACTTGTGGGTCAGAAGAAACAGGAGCCAAGTACCTTCAGTGTCCCATTATCTCAAAGGGTGAGAGTTTATGAGTTCCAAAAGGAGTAAACCTGAGATTTAAAAGGACCAATAGTAATACTTTCGGTGGAGAAATACCTCCGCCTCTACGACTTTTGTCCATTAGGTCTTAATAGTGCCGTGAGTATGTTCAGTTAACCAGAGGAATGAGGATGGTGGGCACAGCGGAAGCATTGTAACAGCCAGCCAAACAGCACAGACTTGTCAAAGCACCTGGCCACAACATGGGCTCCTCCATCACTATGAAGTTGGAGAAAAAGTTCCCCAGGTAGAGATCATCTTCTCTAAAGGGACTGTAGCCGCAGAAGAGGTAGTAACCTGTCTGTAAGGGAAGGCCAGTGTGGAAACATATAGACCATGGCTAAAGCATATTTATAACCATTAGAAAAAGGAAGTTTAATGAAATCCATTTGTCAGGCCTGGAATGGTCCATTATTTACAATGTCTGGGAGTGCTATGAACAGGCTTCCCTGGGTTGTACTTTGAACAAGTGGGACAAGTGAGGTGGGTGCTCTCTCTGGCCTTGCTAATGTTTCCCCACCAGTGCTGATTCGTGAAGGCTATGATTTTATCAGTAGACCAATGGTTTCATGCATGTACGTGGTGAGGAGTGGCAATTTTAGAGTCTCATGTGGGATTGGCTGTTACTTGGTCTGAACTAGAGCTTCCTCTTTTTATCAAACAATTCTTGAATTTCCAAGCTTGTTTTTCCTTTATGAAGGCCAATTGTTGGGCCTCTCTAGCCAATTTTTTCCCTAAATTGTCATTTGAGAAAATATCCCTTTGCACCATGACAGAGACTGGGCTGCTGTCAGCTCTGTTAAGGCAGCACTCTTTGCAAAAATATCGGCAAGATGATTTTCCTTAGCTTCCAGAGAGTTAGGATCAAAATTCCCCAGAAATTTAATAATAGTTAAAGTGGCAGATACAAGTATTGCACTAAATAATTCCTGAATATAGAGGCAATTTTAAATTTTATTTCCACTGGAAACAGGGACGCCATGTTGCTTCCACAACATTCCAAAATCAGAAGCTACTCTGAAAGCACCTCTGCTATCAGAATAAATCCTGGTAGTTTTGTCCTTGGCTGAAGTACAAGCCTGTGCAAGATCGTAGATATCAGCCTACTTCAGTCTAACGTGGGTAAAGATGTGCCTCATCAACATGAAAAGGGGTTGTAACAGCGCACCCAGCACAGTGTTTGCCACTGTCACCTCTTAAGTAGGAGCCATCAGTGAACCATGAGAAGTCAGCTTTACCCGGTAGAATTACCTGTAGGTCATTACCGGTGGTTGGGTTGATCGGCCAGCACTAAGCAGTCATGAGACGCTTCCGCAGGGATGGGGGCGGAGGGGAGAAGAACAGCTGGGTTAAGATTATTAAAACTTGAAAGAGTTCTGTGAGGAGCAAAAGGAGTTCATAGGAGGTGAGGCAGCTGGCTGAGAAATGTTAAGTGTGACAAGAATTTAGGAAAGCCTCTACTGACTGCATGAAGGACAAAAAGGATTAAAGGAGATCCTAGGATTTTCTCAGTGGCCTGGACCAAAAGGGCAGTGGCTATAATGGCTGTAAGGCAAGAGGTGTATCCTTGTGCCACAGGGCCCAGTTGCTAACTGTAAAACCCTGTGGGTTGATGTAGGTCCCTGTTTCTGGATGAGTGCCCAAGGACACCCCCTTCCTTTTCATGTACAATAAGAAAAAGGGAAATCTGATCATTGGAACGCCCAAGGGCAGGTGGGTTCATTCAACTTTCCGTTAAGGCCTTAAAGGCTATGTTGTCTATTTCTTCCCATAAAATTGGTCAGGGTTGTTACTGTTTAGTAAAACATATAGAGCTTTAGCCGTAAGAGAAATCTGGGGATTTAATTTCAGAAATAACCAACTAGCCTGAGAAAAGCCTCACGGTTGGTGCTTAGTTTCAGGTTTGGGAAACCGAAGACACCATGAGGCCTAACTGGATCTAGGTGTAACCCTTGTTCTGATATCAGATGCCCTAAACATCAAACCTGGATTTGTGTTGATTAAAAATTTTTTTTGGTGGCCTCACGTCCCTTTAAGGCTGAAAGCTTTAGTGAGTGGATGCTGTCTTCCTGTGAGGAGGCTTGAGAAGGAGAGCAGAGAAGTAAATCATCCATATAGTGCAACAAAATAGAACCTCCAGGGAACTGTATGTCACCCAGATTCACCTTCAGGATTTTCAAGAAATACGAAGGACTCTCAGCGAAACCCTGAGGCACTACTGTTCAGATGAATTGTTTTTCTTCCCAATGAAGGCAAAAAGGTGCTAGCTAGTTTCATCAACTACAGTACTAAAGAATGCACTGCATAAGTCAATTTCAACGAAGAATTTGTCCTCTATGGAAGTGGATGTTAGTGATACAGGAGGGTTACGAACAACGGCGTGTCTAGAGGTAATGGTGTTGTTTATTGCTGGCGGTCCTAGACAGACCTCGACCCTTGGTTTTCTCACCAGTAAAATGCGAGTGTTACAGAGCCCAGTGTAAGGGATAATGAAGCCTTGAGCCTTGTAATCGTCTATTATGGGCTTTATGTCTTGAAGGATTTCTTTGCTCATAGGGTATTGGTTAATTCTAGGAAGAGGTTCTGAGAGTCTAGTTGGATTTTAACGGGAGGTTTTCTATGAATTTTGCCAACATCATTTGGAGATTTTGCCCATAAGGAACAATGGTAACTGATTCAATAGGGACAAATAATCAGTGTTGTCAGAATGTCCTCTAGTACCATCAGAGACAAAGCAAATAAAAGATGCCAGAGGGCCATTTAATTCACCTGGTGTGTTGCTCTGATGAGTACTATCAATTTTTAGAATTATTTCCCCCTTCTGGGAGAAAGAAATTCTGTCATGATGCTTTTCTAAGAAGTCTCAGCCTAGTAAATGGATAGGGGCAGAAGAACTAAGGAGAAAAGGGTGGGTAGCTCTCAAAAGGCCTAATCAAAAGGGAATAGGTACAGGACAGGAGTCTTTTGAGGTTCATCAAAGATCCCCACCTATTTGAACTGTTTTAGTACTGCAAGTCAGGGGCTGTTTTATCATAGTGGGGTTGAGAACTGAGAATGCAGCACCAGTGTCAAGTAGGGTCGGAAATGATTTATCCTCAATCTGAAAAAATGTTCCTCTGAGCTGATTAACAGGGAGGATTGGAAAGAGCCCCTGTAGCTGCTCTTAATGTAGTCATTAAGAACTGGGAGGCTATTGGAAAAACTACTTAGAAGGCTGAAGGCTCCTAAAGCACTTACATTTGTAGCAATTTCTTTTCCAATGTCCTGGCTCTTGGGAATAATAGAAACTAGGAGGGTTTTGGTTCTGTTTAGGAGCCTTCATTTGCTGGAACTGAACACTTAGAATTTTGGCTATCTACGTTGGAGATACCACATCTAGAGTGTGAGAGAGCTGGTTTGCCAGATTAACTAAATCTGGAGAGGACGGTTTCACAGTCTAGCTTCATCCTTTTTACTAGTAGGGAAAGATCCTGGTTCAGCCTATTTTAAAACATGGAGTTAAAAACTATCCAGGGCGAATCAACATCTGAAGGAAGACCAGAATTTTCTTTAAAAACAATCTGAAGTCAATATTCATGAACAGATTTGTCAGATTTTTGTGTGCAAGCTTGAACTTTGTTCCCATCAACAGACTGGAAAAGCCCTAAGAATTGTTCAATGAAGTCACCTAGCGATTGCCTGCACTTGATCATATAAGATAATAGGCGGGTCTCCTGGATGTAATTCTAGAGATCTTTTGGGACATTCCCAATTAATGGTTTTTATGCAATGCTAGGCCTGGCCTTCAGCAAGCAGCACATGAACTGGCTAATATAAATCAGAGAAACCAAGTTCTTAAGTTTGAATAACTATTAAATCCCTCAGTGTATCTGTGAGAATCTTCAGTTACTTGAGAAGCATCTTTAAGCATGGTTCACAGTTCAGTTTTAGTCCAGGGAATATAAGAAATTAAGAGTTTTAGCCTCTAGATCCTCAGAAAACTTAAGTGAATTTTTTTTCTTTTCTTTTTAAAAAGAAACTTTGAAGCATAATTGGTTTGCAATGTTGTGTGAGTTTTCTAGTGTACAACAAAGTGATTGAATTTATGTGTATGGCGTATATGGATTCTTCTTTAGATTCTTTTCCATTATAGGTTATTACAAGATATTGAATCTTGTTCCCTATGCTATACAGTAGGTCCTTGTTCATCTGTTGTATATACAGTAGTCTGTATCTTTTCATCCCAAGCTCCTAATTTATCCCTACTCCACCCTTTCCCCTTTAGTAACCATATTTGTTTTCTATGTCTATGAGTCTGTTTCTGTTTTGTAAAATAAGCTCATTTGTATCATATTTAGATTCTACATATAAGTGATATCATGTGATGTTTGTCTTCCTCTGCCTCACTTACATCACTTATGTGATAATCTCGAGGTCCGTCCGTGTTGCTGCAAATGGCACTATTTCATTCTTTGGGGGCTGAGTAATATTCTATTGTATAAATACACACCGCATCTCAGAAGGCTTTGTTTTAAAGGGACAGATTCTGACAAGTTGAGAGGAAACAGGAGTGAGGAGAATTTCAGAGAAAAAGAAAAGTTTTGTGAGAGAATTAGAAGGGGGAAATTGAGGGTATAGAGGAAGCGCAGACAGTGTAGCAGGGAAGGAGGAGGATGGCGCAGGAGGTGGAGTCTGTCCACAAGAAGCCAAAGAAGAGAGACGAGATGGTGCTGGAGACAGAGCCTGCCACAAAGAAGCTGAAGGGGAAGAACCTGAGGCTTCAGGGGCCCTTCAATCTTTCTATCACTGTTTGTTTACCTTAGTTAATCTTAAAGTCTTATTATGCAGGGAGGCCATTTTAGACCCCTGATAATGTTGAGAAGCCTCAAAACACCAATTGAAATAAACATTCCTCTCAGTTCTGGAAATTTTTGAGATATTGTAATCATTTGGTTTTAGGGAAACTGAGTTTGAGGATTTCAAAAATTTCCCATAATGGTCAATGGATATTCTAAGTTGCCTTCGGTCCTGTGGTTCCGTTGAGTTAGAAACGCGCCTGGGAAGGACTGCAGTTTTTAAACACAAAATCAGCCAGAGTCCCTGTGGGGGTCACCCTCAAAATACTTAGATAACTGAGATCCCATTTCCTAGAGATTTTTCCTCTAGAGTAAAGAGCAGTTTTCAACCAGTTTAAAAAGCTTACAGCACAAATGGCTCATTTCAAACAGCTTGCAAGCCTGAATACCAGCGAGTTCAAAGGAAACAGCTTGATCCCAGCTCCCCAGAGGAGCCAGGCCAAAGGCTTTTGCAACCAGTTTCTAGAGAACAGCCCCTTTCAAAGGAATAGGCTGACGGCTGAATCAGCACAGTTTCATTTGAAGCAGCCCTTCCCCAAAGGAATTGGGCCGAAAGCATTTTCAGCCAGCTTCCATTGAAACAATCTGATCTCAAGATCAGACCAAAGTACCAAACAAGTTCTCATATACAGAGAAGGCCTTAACTAGAAAGATGAAATCTTTAAATAGATCCTGAATAAAACCTGGAGAGCTTCAAATGCAAAAGGGATGTCAGCTCAGACCCAGGAGAAAGATGTGCCTTCAGACTGCAGGGTTGGCAAGAACAGCAGTGACTGACAACGGGCTAAATTTGTAAGTACTGCATCTCTTTGCTCACCCGCCTTGGAGCCACAGGGAGTCTCCTCTGGTCCCAGTATGGGCCACCAAAATGTTCGCCTGAAATAAATAGACTGCCAGATATTTCTCCAGCAAAGATGGGCATATTTGGGATCAGCAGGGAATGGCAACAGAGGGTGTATCACTGGGGCCAGCCACATGCAAGTCCCTGCATGGCAAGGGAAGAACGCTTTTATAGAGGGGGAAGGATACTGGGAGTAGGAAGTCTGTGTCTTTTCATTGGCTGAGCCCTTGCCAGGAAAGGAGAGGAGTTCTTTCTGTTGGGCTCCGCTATCATCACAGGGCGTAAGAACTCATCCTTAAATAAGTCTCCCAACCCTATTTAATTGGGGTTTCTATTTATTAGTGTATTTACCATATATTGCAAATGTTTTCAGAGAAATTGGCCAATGTGCTTCCCAGGTTCTTGGTTCCATCTCTTTTTTTGGTCTTTTACCACAATGCCCAGTCCTTTTGTATGCCATTCCTCACCTAGAGAGATAGTTTCTCTGCTCTCCTCCTGTTGGTCTCACTTTATGTCATTTCTATCTGCTACTTCACTTACCCCAAGGATGTTCAACTCCAGTTTCACTTAGGCTTCCAATTCTGTCTCTTCTGAATTCACATTATGCTGTGAAAACTCTGTATGGGCATAAAGTTCTTACCTACCCACTGGTAGGAATCACCATTTTCAGAAAACGAAAATATTATAAGACTTCCTTCTCTGGAAGTAGAACAGATGTTTGGAGATAAACTTCTGGTATAGAACATCTAAATATGCTGGCTAAAATATTTAAAGAATTGTCTTAAAAGCATGACCAAGAGAGAGGGAAAAATAAAGAATATAATGAGAAGCAAGCAATGACAAGGCAGTGCTAAGCCAGAGAAGTAAGAAGGTGAAGAATTCACAGTGTGCTCTTTGAGAGAACGCGCTCGTTCTTGAAGGCCTAGATTCTGAAATTTAATGGAGCTGTTTCCGAAGCACAGGAACCAAGGCCCGTGCCTATGTCAGACCCACCACAATAAAGCCTTAAAAATGCCTGAACAAAATTTGCAAGAGAGACAGTTTGAAATTTGAGTCCCACCAAGTTAGAGGGTCTTGGGCTTTGCATACATTCAGTTTCAGAAAGTCATAAACCCAGGGAGGGATGGAGGAGGGTTACAGCTCAGTGGCAGAGTGCATACTTAGCATGCAGGGGGTCCTGGTTTCAATCCCTGGTACCTCTGTTAAATCAATCAGTCAATCAATCAATAAACAAACCTAATTACCCCCCCCAATAAAATAAATCTAAAAAAGTTATAAAACCAAGCCTTCTCAAGTTCAAGGTGATCCAGTATAAGTGAAACTCCTACTAAAGCTGAATCAGAGTCTTCATGGTTTATTAATCACAGTGTCCAAAATTTTCAGTCTATCATCAGTAGACTTATAAGGGAACTAAGAGGTCAGTAGAAACCCAATCCAAGATGGCACAGATGTTTGACCTACCAAATACTTGAGAGTAGTTATTATACATATATAAAAGAATGAAAGAAAATATGTTCAAATGATTAGTGAAAACCATGGTCTTAATTAGTAAACTGTAGGAAATTTCACCTGAGAAATGGAAACTATAAGATAAATCAAATGGGAATTTTAGAAATAAGAAGTAAATTGTTGTTCTTAGCAACAGCAGGTCCCCTGGCCATTGGCAGGATGATCATGATTGACTTAGTGAGTGAACGGCCCTCAAATGGACGCCCATGCTCACACCAGTCAGGAGAGTACACTTGTCCCCTCTCAGCTTGTCACTGTGAAAAAATCTTAACCAAGCAATCATCTGAACATACACACAAGGATCACACACCCATTCTTAAGTGCACAACTATGTTCTTTTCTTATATATATATATATATACATATATATGTATATATATGTATATATATATATATATTTGTTGTGGTAACAACGCTTAACATGAAATTTGCCCTCTTAGAAAAATGTACCTCATTTTATCTGAAAAGAGCAAATTCATCTACTTGAGCAGAAATAGTAAGAGGACTGAGCATATTCCAGCAGTGTTAATGCTGTAATAAAAACCAGAAAAATAATCTAACGCAGCTTTAGGAAGATACCACAAGGTAGGGAAAACAACACGAGGAAAGAATTAGAGGACCTGGATTTTGGACACAATTTAGCTCCTTAGTAGCTGAGTAACTAAAAATCTGAGAGATGAATGTTCCTTGTCTGTGAAAGTACCTGTAGCAATGCACTCAATCTCTAAGGTCCCATCCAGTTCTAACACTCAGTGATCTGTACTTAATGCCTGTATATCCACTGTTCTTTCATTGTCAGAAAAATGCCTCTGCTGTCCTCTCTGCACTTGGTCAGCTTGCTTAAAAGATGGCAGACTGGGAAGGGCTGAGACCTGGAGCTACACTGACCCCTTATGCATTCAACACACCGTTTAGGATCAGGACCAGTTGCATGAGAGGAGAAAAGGTTCCAGGCAGCTAGACTTTACAGCAAAACCAGATCCTTTGTCCAAGAAAATATTTGCAAGAGGAATTCAAGCTGAGGTTGCAGGATATCCCAAAAGCTAAGGAAGGCACAGGATTGGAGAACTCAGAGTGGTGGTACATTCGGGAAACCCAGAGATGGGCTGTCATCTGTCACTTGGTGACAGAGAGACCTCTGGCAGGTAGTAACAGAGCATCAGCCACCAGGTAGTAACACAGCATCAGCTGTGATTCAGAGGCAGGACCAAGGGAAGATGCTTTATAAGCACAAGGCAGGGTATCTCTCCTAGAGGAACTAGACATAAAGACGAGGGCTCAGGGGTGCCAGCAGGGGAGGTAAGAAGGTGCCAGAGGCATGTGGTGACACTGGCTGCTCCTCCACTTCATAAATACTAGCCAGAGAGCTGTCTGTGATGCTCAGGAATAAGTCTTCCAATTCCAGGTTCTCACTGGTCCTCCTGGAGGGAGAAGTATAAAATTATCAGGTAGGATCACTGAGGCTGGAAGATGCCTGAGGTTACCGATTTGATCCTTGCTTTTTCTGTCAGTGGCTCAGGAATTTCTGAGTGCTGAGTTCTCACTTGATCTCTGAAGACCCCATCTGGCCCAGCTGTCTGGGATGGATGAACTCTGTGTTTAATTGCCTGCCTATACTGACTCATGGTTGCCCAAACTCTAAGCCTGCTTCCTCGGTCCTGTCATCCTACCAAAAAAAAAAAAAAAAAAAAAAAGGGACAATAACTGAAATGAAAATTTCACTGACTGAGCTTAACAACTGATTGAAAATGAAAAAAAAAAAAATCGGTGAGCCTAAGGTCAAAGCAGTGGAAACTACCCAAACTGAAAATATTGAAGAAAAATTGGAGCTTCAGAGACCTATGGGACAGCATCAGAAAGTTATACTTACACTTGTAATTGGAGTCACAGAAAGGAAAATATTGAGGTAGAAACAGAAAAAACTATTTAAAGAATAAGGCTGAACACTGCCCAAATTTGACTTAAAAAAAAACTGACAAACTTCAGAGAAGCTAAGCAAACTACAGTCAGAATAAATAAAAAGAACTGTAAGTACTTAATCATTAAGGTATCAAAAAGCAAAGAAAAAGAAAAAGCAAGAAAAAAAAAGACATTGAACAAAGGAAAAATTTTGCAAAGGATGCTTGATTTTTCCTCAAAAAATGGAGATTAAACCTTATTTTATATTTTTAAGAGGCATTGTCATTTGTTTTTCCTGTTCATTCATTCATTCCTCTGATTTTTCTCCTATAAGTGTATGCATTTGCTTTTCTTACTTTCACAAGCTCTTTATACATTAGGAATGTTAAAATTTTGTCTATAATTTAAGTGTCACAGTTTTATGCGGTTTTCATTTTCCTTTTTACTTTGCTGATGGTGTCTTTTCCATGCTTTTTTGTTTGTTTGTTTTTTAATTTTATACTTCTAGATTTTGTCTCATAGTTGGGCAAGTTTTGCCACTTCCAAGGTTGCATAGAAAGTCATTCATATTTTTCTTGTATGTATGGGAGGATGCGACTACCCTGGAAGTAAGTAAAGAGTCTTTGAGGGACAGGAAAAGAGGCATCTCTGGGTTTGGCCTTCACAATGTAAGCAGACAGCTTTGGGAGATACGTCTTTAAATC